ATCAATTAAATTTATAAAATAGAAGAGATGTTACACAAATCCAAAAATTTATATTTAAATTACTATGCAATAAAAATAAAAAAAAGGAAATTGATTCCTCCTATCTTCCACCGCTACTGCCGCCCCTGCCGTCGATCCGCTGTTTCCGCTTCTTCTTTAATTTTACACCTCTGTCCCACGTCGCTCCGTATGGTCCGTTGTTAGCACTATTGTCACACCGTTGATCTATCCACCTTCACTTTAACGTCTTTATTACTTTCCTTCTATCTCCTTCTATCTCCTTCTACCTCCTCCTCTCCGTATCTCTATTTAATTCTATATTCGCTCAGATTTCTTTGCGCTTCCTCCCTTCTTTACAATGGCGGGCACTGTATTTCCGCCCTAAGCCACCAACTTCCGCCCAATGGTGTTCCCAATAAGTCCTCCGACCTATTGGTCCCGCTTGAAATGGCTCCCCGACTCCTCCTCTTCCTTAATGTCTGCTGCTTCGTCCGGTTTCCCTCTTTGTTTACAAGGAGGTCGCGTCGGAGTCAAAACATCATGGCGCCAAGGTCGGTGATTGTTTAGTTTTCCTTCGGTCACTTTATAAACAAGAATGGCGGAGCAATAAGAAAAAATAGGAGAAGGAGAGGAGGGGAATTGTCCTTATAAATTGATATTAAATTTAGAACGCAGGATTTTGCAAATTGCCGTATTTAAATTAGTTTTTAAAATAAGTTTTCCATATCAAGCGGCTCCGGTCAGTCAATTCGACTCTTCCTTCCTCCAGTTTTCCCAATTTCCCATATTCAAATTTCCAATGTCCAAATTCATCCAAATTTATCCTGCTTCTTTAAGTCAAAGTTGGTCAGGTCCAATAATTAGCACTGAACTCGAGGAACGGAGGAGACAAACGGGTAGCTTTGCCCCGATTTCTCGCTTTATTTTCTTTCCTTCACAGAGTCAGAAAATATAAGATTTTGTCCAATTACTTACCCTCTAACCCGAGGGTTATTGTTGTTTTTAAAATTCTTTGCTCTTAGATAGGTGGAAAGCGACGGTAGTTCATGCAGGGGCTCCCCCCTGCTCCCCACGGGGCAGCCCGCTACCGGCGGATATCTTCCCGGGTCTCTTTCACCCCCTCCCTTGAGGGGAAGGTGGCTTTCGAGACCTTCGGGTAATCCTGCTCGGTTTCGCGTACCCTCAGCTCTCGATCCGGCTGAGGAGGGGAGCTATTTGCTCTACCCGGCCGCACTCAGTGGGTCCCTGCTGAAGAGCTTCAGCAAGGCAATCCTGCCGCCATGCCGTCCCACCGGAAGTCCGATTCTATGATTTCTTAGTACTGAGCCATGGAAGTTCAAGTGGTGTCAAACTGCATTACTTTTACAGTGTAGATGCACCCTAAGTCGAAAAGTTTCCCTTTTGAGAATGTTTTAACAGCAATCCCAACTAAATGACGCATGAGAATACATGGAGACATCGCGGTTGGGTGTTCCTTTAGTTTTGCAGAGGATTAAAACGGGGATGTTTGTTGCAAGGCAATCTATGAATGCAGGTTTACTTCAAAGTGGATTAAGAGCAAAGCAGATTAAATGCCTCTGGCCACTCCTGTATGTACACTCCTCGCTCTTTGGCTTTCTCATGTGCACATGGCCAGCTGCCTTGTTTTGCTTGCAGGCCCACATGGATCATCAACATGGCAAGAGGTTGGGCCCACTCTCTCTCATGTGCAGAAGGCCTGTGGAATGTGCGCACATAACTGTGCATGCAACTGGCCCTCTGTTACTGTGTGGGAAGTTTGGTCCAATTCTATCATTGGTAGGGTTCAGAATGCCCCTTGATTGTAGGTGAACTATAAATCCCAGCAACTACAACTCCCAAATGTCAAGGTCTATTTTCCCCAAACTCCACCAGTGTTCACATTTGGGCATATTGAGCATTCATGCCAGGTTTGGTCCATATCCATCCTTATTTGAGTCCACAGTGCTCTCTGGATGTGGATGAACTACAATTCCCAAACTCAAGACAATGCCCACCAAACCCTTCCAGTATTTTCTCTTGGCCATGGGAGTTCTGTGTGCCAAGGTTGGTTCAATTCCATTGTTGGTGGAGTTCAGAATGCTCTTTGATTGTAGGTGAACTATAAAACCCAGCAACTACAACTCCCAGTTGTGAAGGTCTGTTTTCCTCAAACTCCACCAGTGTTCGCATTTGGGCATACTGAGTATTCGTGCCAAGTTTAGTCCAGATCCATCATTGTTTGAATCCACAGTGCTCTCTGGATGTGAATGAACTACAAATCCCAAACTGAAGGTCAATGCCCACCAAACCCTGTTGATCATGGGAGTCCTGTGT